TCCTATCTAGCCATCCAACTATCTACAATTAAGTAGTGTTTGTAATTTGATTCACTTAGTCTCAAAGATATATCTGGATCCTCACTGACCTTGAAGGGCTACGGCCAAAATGTTGGCTATCCTTGTAGCCTTTCTTTTTCTCTGATTTGTTGGTTTTCAAACTGAAGTTGTCAACCCTTCAGAACAGTAGCTTAATGATATTATTATTCCATAGCATAGGAAGTTGAGCTTAACATCACTATCTGTCTGAATATTAAACTCGTTAGACATAACATAGAACAGGTATTTCCATCAATCATTGATATGTTAAATTATATTTATTCTTTATTAAATTTATTGAGAAACAAATAGCAATGAGACAGTTTCAATATACATTTTTTTTGGTGGAACTGGGGATTGATCTCAGGCCCCTGAGCTTGCCAGGAAAGCACTTATTCCACTGAACCATCTTCCCCAGCCCCAATGAGACAGTTTCAAAACCAATTAGTAGGACAGTTTCAATAATAAATACATTGCATATTGTCATCTTTGTAGTGGTTATTCATAGTACAAGATGCATACATGATATCCTGTCTGAACACTATTAGTACAAATTTCTTCTCAATGAATTAAGAGAAAGTAACTGTATATCTAACCTATTTTGTATACGCAGATACAAAAATGGTCCTCCATTTGTATCCCCTTTTTTGTTTAGTTTTGTCAGAGATGGGTATTCCATTGTCATTTATATATTGTATGTACATGAATTCAGCAAAATAATCCAATACAGTCCACTAGTCCTTAATAGTAGTGGGTTATCCATAGCACTGGCAACGTCAGAAGTTGTTGACTTGAGCCTTTTACAACTCAGTATATTAATATGGATTACTTTTTATACATTGTTTTTATACTTTTCTACTAGATAGTTAAAGCAAGATAAAGCAGGACCTATATAAGATGAAATGTAACATTTGTATCTGACAAGGTCAGTCAAATCCACTCAGGATTTAACCTGAAACCCTGTACCACAGTTTATAGATCATTTGTTAGTGTCACCCATGTGGATGAGTCATGACCACTGCTTGACCAATTTGCTCACTGTGAAAGCTTGAGAAAATGTTTTCTGTCCATGTGATTCTCCTTAGGCACACTCTACATCATCGATCACTTTCCTCTGTGGCCCCATAATCACCTTGATCAGTAACTATATATGTATATATACACACACAAAAAAAATAGGATAGATACAGCTACTTTATCTTAGTTCAATGAGAAGAAAGATTTGTACTAATTGTGTTTAGACAAGATATCATGTCTCCATCTTGTACTACGAATAACTACTATGAAGACCACAATATGCAATGTATTAATTATTGTAACTGTCCTACTAATCGGTTTTGAAACTGTCTCATTGCTATTTTTCTCAAAAAAATTAACAAAGAAATGAATCAAAGCACAGAAAAATAAATGTCGTGAGAAAATGTAGATTAAAGTAGAGAGAATGAGCATCAGTAAGTAGAACCAAAAAGTTCAAACCCATCATCGTTATTGCAACTATTGTCGCTATTTTTAACTTTATTGACTTTGCAAGCACAGTTCTTCAAAGATAATTGTATGTAAAAAAAATTTAACAAATCACATATGGGCTGCATTGCAAACCTAGTATCCTTAATAAAAATTATTATTATTATTATTATTATTATTATTATTATTATTTTGGTGGAACCGGGGATTGAACTCAGGCCCTTGCGCTTGCCAGGCAAGCACTTACTTTACTGAGCTATCTCCCTGGCTCCAATAAAAATTATTTAAAAATTCCAAAAATAGAAAAGATATATCTGGAGAAAAAAGAGAGATTCAGAAAATGAAAAGAGAAAGTGACCCTGTGTGAGAAATGCAGGACAATTCATGAAACCCACTTTTTTATTATCATTTTATTTTATTTTACTGGTAACTGGCATGTATAACTTGCCTGTCCATGGAATAAGCGCTCGAGGAGAGATTTGGCACCTTCTCCCATTATTAATTCCAACCCTCTTTTTTGCCCTGCCCCCACCTGCCTACGTCAGTTCCTGCCTACATGTGACGCACTCTCTTTGGCCTTTGTTACCTCACTGAATGGATCACTACAGTTACAGGGACCTGGCTTCAGGGAGACCAGACACAGCATTGTGGCAGTCTGCTTCAGGACCTCTGGCCTCTCTAGCAGAGGCCTCTGAACAGGTATCATTCTGGCGGACAGTGGACTCTCAAGCTCCCTGGGTAATATCATGGGAGGAGGCCTCAATCCACAGGTTTCTAGCAGTACCGAAAGTGATGTCCAGCAACAGATACCAGCTGTCTCCTTCTGCCCTCTTCACTCTGGGCGGACCTTCTCAGCAACTCCCACAATCAGAGAACCATTCCTCAATGCAAGAACCCGTTGCCTTGGCCTTTTGCAGCGTTTCTGGAAGTCTAACAACACTGATGCCCTGGACAATGCCTCCAGACCTGAGCCAAATTTGAGGCCCCAAGACCTGAAGAGAATGGCTCTGAAGCGGATTCAAAAGGAGCTCTGCGGTCTCGCTCGTGATCCACCAACCCATTGCTCTGCCGGACCCATGGGTAATGACTTGTTCTTCTGGCAGGGGACCATAATGGGTCCCAATGATAGCCCCTACCAGGGAGGCGTTTTTTCCTTAAATATCCAGTTTCCTTCGGATTATCCATTTACACCACCCAAGATAACATTTACCACCCGAATTTTTCACCCAAGTATCAGTCGAAATGGAAACATCTGTCTAGATCTCAGGAAGCAGTGGTCACCAGCGTTCACAATTTGCAACGTACTGTTATCCATCTTTTCCATGTTGTGTGATCCCAATCCTGACGATTCTTTAGTTCCTGAAATCGCCAAGCTCTACCTCAGGAATAGGGGAGACTATGACCGAATCGCTAGAAAATGGACGAAGAAGTACGCCATGTGAGACTTCCAACTCAAAACTGTTTGACCAAATAATAAAGGCAAAATTGTCAGTACAGTTAATTGATTGTCCCTTGATTACTTTCTTTTAAGACAAAACTTCTCATCTTGTTGCATACATGTTGTACACGTTTTGTATTAGGGTACATGTGGAGAGGTATTAGAACTGGATGAGTGATGGGAGGTTGAGTGGCTGGTGAGAGGCATGAAGTGCAAATGGGGGAAAGATTTCTGGGACTTCCATGGAAAGTAACATTTTTAAATTTAGGTTTCAAATATGAGATTATTTCATTGAGTTAGGATTGGAGAAATAAGCAAGGACAAGAGCCAGTGGTGGCTTTAGGACTAGAAAAAACAATTTCACACATCTGTGGGAATATTTTTAATTTAGACCCTTGTAGAAATGGCAACACATAGGAACACCTCAGTGAAGATTATAAAGCTAATTAGGGATGTATTTTCCTTTGTAGCACCAGCTCTTCAGAAGTTTTGATTTGGACTAAGATGGGTGTCCATCCATATCCTCTATTTTGAGCTCTTGGGTTCACCATCAAATGAAATGGATCATGAGTTTTTACAAGTAAAGTGTTTAATTTCCAGTTTTCTACACCTCCCCCCTTCTTGGGAAACTTCCAGAAAGCTTTCAAAAGTTTATGGTGTAAAATAGAACCACTATCCAAATCAATTCTTTTTGTTAAAATTTTTTTTATTTATTTGAGAGAGAGAGAGAGAGAGAGAGAGAGTGTGTGTGGTGTGTGTGTGTGGCTAGCTCAGCCCACCAGGGGGCGGGACTGGCTGGCATGTGGTGGTGGGGGATTGAACCGCGGTCCCTGATGCTTTGCCAAGCTTGTTCTAAGTAGGTGCTTTAGACCACTGAGCCATCTCTCCAGCCCTATCCAAATCAATTCTAAGAAGAACCCTTTGTTGAAGCTCAGGGAGAATCAGTATGAGTTTGGGCTGCTTAGGGAGATCCTGTGTCAAATAAATAAAAAATACAACTACAAATAAAAAAAGATAAAATGAAATTTTGACAGCAACTAATAAGAGGATAGCAATAGTTATTACAGTGTGTGTTGCTATCTTCAAAGTAATTACTCAGAGTAGAAGACAATGCAAAAAATCCTTACAAAACAGGAACAAAATAACAAGCTCTGCAATTATGTCTCCTCTTTTATTTTGGAATGTATAGCTTATGTTTTTATTACATTTATGCTCAGTGTTACTAAAATTTTATCACATTTCTCTTTTTTACTTTTAAAGAGGAAATGAAACAAAAAGCAATTAACAAGAATAAGAAAAAAAAAACAAAGCTTATTCAATGTTGCATGCCTTTATCTGGTAAACTGAGAAAAACTTAATGATAACAATACATAATATAACAATCATCACTACTTTTGTATTCTTTTGAGATAGCACATTTTTAAGAGATCCTGACCCTTTTCCTATAGTGGATAGCTTCCAATAGTTTTGAGGCAAAGGAATATTTTTTCTGTCATCTAAGTTCAAAACTTCTTAAAAAAACATTCTTCATTCTGATTTACATTTCCTTTTCACTAATTTTATATTTGCATAGAAACAACCAGTTTGTTGCCCTTCCCCTCAAAGTTTAAATCTATGTTTCTTCTGAGGGGAACATCTAAGTTATGTAGATAAAGTGGCAAACATTTGTTATTTCCCTCTTTGGTCTTGCACTAGTCATGGGGATATTCCTTGTATAATGGTCTGCACCCTGTGTTTTCTATTTTAAGTGTGGAAGCCCATTAGCATCTGCAAGAAGATCTGAATATCACTTTTGTCATCTACACCCACGGAATTTTATGCTGCATATCAGGCCATACAGAACCTTTTACTATGCATTATATAGGCAATGCTTACTGAGTTCTATGAAATATCCAATTTCCCTCCATGCTGTGGCACACATGAATCAGAACTCATATCAGATGTCTAATAAGCGCATCTTAGGTTTCATAGTAATTAGTTGTATTGTGATTTCAACTTCACAGGGAATTCATGGAATGTTGAGATTTTGTAGATTTATAGACTTATTCTTGTAATAAATGTGAGCATAATGTTCTCTTCATTTATCTGTATCCTCTGCAAAATGCAGAAGATAGGCATTCTTAATTTGTAAAAAATAATGTATGGTTTTAGGTAAAAAAGATTATAGTTTGGATGTATAGCAAAACCTGGAAAAAAAGATAGGAGACCATTACACTTATTTTTTAAGATATAACGAATTCCTGCGGGTTGGCGGGGCCTGGCTCGTGTGGGACTGGAGGCGGCGTAGGACTGAGGTGTAGCCGGCAGCTTTGAACTAGTGTGATAATGACTCCAGTCAACGGAACTCACAAGGATGCTGCCATGTGGACCTCCCGTGAAACTATGCTGGCACAGCCCCTCAAGGACAGTGACATTGAAGTGTACAACATCATTAAGAAGGAGAGTAACCGGAAGTGAGTGGGACAGGAGCTGATTGCCTCTGAGAATTTTGCCAGCCGGACAGTTCTGGAAGCCCTTGGCTCCTGTTTAAATAACAAATACTCTGAAGGGTATCCAGGCCAGAGATATTATGGCAGAAATGAATTTATCGATGAACTGGAGATACTATGTCAGAAGCGAGCGCTGCAGTCCTATCATCTAGACCCACAATGCTGGATGGTCAATGTCCAGCCATACTCAGGATCCCCTGCAAACTTCAGGATATACACTGCCCTGGTGGAGCCCCATGGGTGCACCATGGGCCTGGACCTGCCTGATGAAGGCCATCTGACCCATGGGTTCATGACAGACAAGAAGAAAATCTCTGCTACATCTATCTTCTTTGAATCTATGCCCTATAAGGTATATCCAGACACTGGCTACATCAACTATGACCAGCTGGAGGAGAATGCCCACCTCTTCCACCCAAAGCTGATCTTTGATGGAACCAGTTGCTACTCTCAAAACCTGGACTATGCACATTTGTGGAAGATTGCAGATGAGAACAGAGCATATCTCATGGCAGACATGGCGCACATCAGTGGACTGGTGGCAGCTGGCGTGGTGCCTTCCCCTTTTGAGCACTGCCATGTGGTGACCACCACAACCCACAAGACCCTGAGAGGCTGTCGTGCTGGCATGATCTTCTACAGAAAAGGAGTGTGCGGCACGGATCCCAAGACTGGCAAGGAGATTCTGTACAACCTGGAGTCGTTCATCAATTCTGCTGTGTTTCCAGGCCTCCAGGGAGGTCCCCACAACCATGTCATTGCTGGAATTGCTGTGGCCCTGAAGCAAGCCATGACTACACAATTCAAAATCTAACAGCTGCAGGTGGTGGCCAACTGCAGAGCTCTGGCTGAGGCCCTTACAGAGCTGGGTTATGAAATTGTTACAGGTGGCTCTGACAACCATTTGATCCTCATATATCTACTTTCCAAGGGCACAGATGGCAGAAGGGCTGAGAAGGTGCTAGAAGACTGTTCTATTGCCTGCAATAAGAATACTTGCCCAAGTAACAGAAGTGCACTGAGGCCCAGTGGACTGCGACTGGGGACCCCAACACTAACAACCCTGGGACTTTTGGAAAAAGACTGCCAAAACGTAGCATACTTTATCCACAAAGGTATAGAGCTGACTCTACAGATTCAGAACAATGTGGGCTCCAGGGCTACACTGAAGGAGTTCAAGGAGAAGCTGGCAGGGAATGAGAAGCATCAGAAGGCTGTGTGGGCTCTCTGGGAGGAAGTAGAGAGCTTTGCTTCTCTCTTCCCACTACCTGGCCTGCCTGACTTCTGAAGGAGTCAGCCTGCTCTGCATCTGCCTTAGTACCATACACACTGACTGCCCAGGGATACCTACTGAGGAGCCAGTACCCTCTTGGGACAACAGAGCTGCCACATATCGCCACTAAGCAGCCCTGTCCCTTTTGAGGGAAATGACTTAAATTCTATTTTCACAAATCAAAATTTAAATCCCATTGTTAGTAATTCTGGGACAGGTCATTAAGGAATTTAAATTTAAATCTAACTTTCTCAACTTATATGCAACTACTCCTAAAAAATAAAATACTGTGTAGCAAAAAAAATATATAATGAATTCTTGAGCCAGCATTGTATTGTGAAATTTGAGAGAAGTAGATAGCAATGTTATACTTTATTCAGAAGCCATATTTTCATCATACCATTTGATTTTTTCCATTTAAAATTTTTTTTCAATCTCACAATTTTCAGAATCATGAATCTTGCCCAGTAAAAATATTGATGCTTCTTAGATTTGTGTATATCATCTTTGACTTCTTTCCCTTTGTAAAAGTCAGTGGATGAAATCTGTTAGAGTTAAAAAGCAAGCACACAAATATAAACCTGTTCAGCAAAAGCAGTGTGTTTGGGTTGTTAACATTCAATCAATCTCTATCCTTGTGATAATCCTGAACTGTTCACTGCTAGAAAAGAAAACATGCTTGTCTCCCAGAATGTATACCATTCTGTATCTATCTTAGAACTTTAAGTAACGTGTCCTCTTTGCTGATTGACTATAAGACTCACAGGAGTAATTTTACAACGTAGTTCCTAAGAAAAGTCTTTTTAAGCCCAACTAAGCCTGTCTCAGGCCCTAGAAGGAGGCTGTGTGTCTTCTTAGAGGTACTTTACATTTACGATAATGTACCCTCTATTTGGTCTTATTTATTTTGAATCACCTAAAGCTCCACTCTTTCATCTAGATGTGCTTAGTCATGGTTGAAAAATATGAAAAGTAAACTTTAAAAAGTCTTTAAAATATGACATAAGAAGTGTGCCAGAAATATGAATATTTAAGCTTAAAATATTATTCCAGTAAGAACACAATATGCCTCAAAACATCCCCTCTCACTACATTTTCACATCATTCCTTCCATTTGCTGAAGTAACTTTGCAAAATCTACTTTCTTGAATTTCTTTATTAGCATAGGTCAAAAATATGTTGCCTACTGGAGGAAAATGTCATTTAATGGAAAGACCGGATCAAAGAAACAACAAAAAATCA